TTTTTGCTTATGTGGTGCTGAGGAATCGAACCCAGGGCCTCAGGCATGCAAGGCAAGCGCTCTACCACTGAGCCACCTTCCCAGCCCCAAACTTGCATTCTTATTAAAAACCATATTGCTAAAAATAAGAAGGAATGACTACTAAGCTAATGTAAATTAGTATATACCTAAAACACATGGTGAAACAAAATAAGCTATACATTTAAAAATTACTTGTACTTTTAGATAGAGAAATCACTTACATCACTTCTTTATTCCTACGAGGCCCTTCAAATGGTCTAAATGGCAGTGATCCAGTAGCTGCATGGTAAAATGTTACCCCAATACTCCAAAGATCAACTGTTGCTCCGTATTTCTTCTGATGGTCTTTCCTTAGTACTGCTCTCTCATACATATCTGGATGCTAGAGAAAAGATTTAAAAAAAAAAACATGAACTTGTGAATGAGAGTAATATTTACAATAAAAAAGGGATGGTATTTGCTAGGCATTGGTGGCTCACACTAGTACAGGAGACTGAGATCTGAGGATCAAGGTTTGAATCTAGCCAGGAAGACTCAACTCCAATTAACCAGCAAAAAGCTGGAACTGGAGGTGTGGCTCAAGTGGTAGAGAGCCAGCTGAAAGCAGAAAAAGTTTAATAAGAGCATGAGGCCCTGAGTTCAAGCCCCAGTTTGGGTACATGCGTGCATATGTACACACACAGGCACACACACACACGCGCGCGCACGCACACACACACACACACACACACTCAATCCTCAATACTTCATCTGCCATATTTTTCTAATAATTTCATTTTCCCACTCCTCAAAAAACTCACCTCAAACCTTCAATACCCTCTCCCTTTTAAAGCCCACAATTTTGAAGACTTAATGCCATGCTTCAAAAAAGGAAATGGAAGCAATGAGACCAAGCCATCAGACCTCCTTTAGGCCTCTGCCAAATACCAACCTACCTGGACCTGTGTCCATCTTCCAGGCCTACATGTTATGCCATGGAGCTGACTATATGCTAGAAATCAATTCTTGTAATTATCCTTATTATTTTAGGCATCATTTCCCTCCACTACTGAATTATTCCTTTCCACTTATGAGTTTAATATCTCTCATTTAATTAAAAAAAATCCCTAAGTTTAACAAGTTTAACTCCTTATCTCCTTTTAGGGATCATGTAATTCTCTGCTTTTTATTATAGTAAAAATCCTTAAAACAGATATCCACAGTTACAGCTACCTTACTCCCTTCTATCCAAAACTATCATCCATATGCTTTAATAACTTCTAAAACTGTCTACTATCCTGAGTTCCAGATTCACAGTCTACCATTTTCATCAATGTTTAAAAGGATGCTCAGATATAGCATTTTCAAGAGTCTCTTTTAAGCAAACAATTTCTTTTGCTAGTCACTCTTTATCATATTATCTTAATTTACTGTCTTTGTAAAATTTTAATAATCTAAATTTGGCTTTTTGTTAATATTATTTTTTCTATTAAAATGTGAGTTTATAGTAATGCTTTATTTCTGGTTTACCACTGAAATCCTAGTGGAAAGCACAGTGCCTGGTACACTTGTAGAATAAATGAATGAAATCCCATTAGGGCACTCATCTAAAAGAATATAAAATATATCTAGATCAGTTTGAGAATACCTATTGTTAGAACAATTTAAGCCTTTTTTTTTTTTTTTGGGTCCGGTCATGGGGCCTGAACTTTGGGCCTGGGCACTGTCCCTCAGCTCTTCAGCTCAAGGCTAGCGCTCTACCACTTGGGCCACAGTTGCACTTCCGGCTTTTTTCTTTTTTGCTTATGTGGTGCTGAGGAATCGAACCCAGGGCCTCAGCAAGCAAAGGAAACACTCTACCACTGAGCCACCTTCCCAGCCCAACAATTTAAGCCTTAATTCACATCAGACAGAATAAATTTTTCCTTTGTCTTATAAAATCACAACAGCTGAATCCAACTGGAAAAAGTTACAGACTCTAAGATTCTAAGGTCAAATCCAGAGTGATGAATAATTAAGAAACTATATAAACTTCCTGCTAAAGATATTTTAGGTATATTTTCTCAAGTGTTTCAAATCTCACTAACTTTACATTAGCCTTTCTAGCCACAGAACTCTTCTAGCTTTCTACAACTTTAAGTTATATATTTATGGAGGCATTTTATTTTTTTCTGCATTTCTAATAATAGTCCTTTTGGTGTTTCAATAACGAAGCTCCATCCTTCCCCATAGAATTTTGTTTTATAAATATAATAAATTTTGCTCTATAGAACATAGTATTAGGAATAATTCATAATATATTAATTATCCTTATCCAAAACTGGGAACCTCTTCTGGCTATACTTTTCTTTAGTACACAGATGGCTTTTAAAATACAAAAAACTAAGGGGCTGGGAAGGTGGCTCAGTGGTAGAGTGCTTGCCTTGCATGCCTGAGGCCCTGGGTTCGATTCCTTAGCACCACATAAGCAAAAAGAAAAAAGCTGAAAGTGGTGTTGGGACAGCACCCAGGCCCAGAGTTCAGGCCCCACGACTGGAACCCCCCCCCCAAAAATAAAATAAAATAAAATAAAATACAAAGCTAAGCCGGGCACTGGTGGCTCATGCCTGTAATCCTAACTACTTAGGAGGCTGAGATCTGAGGATCACAGTTCAAAGCCAGTCCAGGCAGGAAAGTCTGTGAGACTCTTATCTCCAATTAACCAGCAGAAAACCGGAAGTAGCACTGTGGCTCAAGTAGTAGAGCATTTGCCTTGAGATTAAGAGCTCAGGGACAATGCCCAGGTCCAGAGTTCAAGTCCCACAACTGACAAAAAATAAAAAAAGATACAAGGCCATTCCATTAGTAAAATTAAAAGATATGAGTATTATGAAAGTTCTAAGAGTCATTACTTTTTATTGTTATTATAAAGGTGACATAAAAAGACCAAGAATTCTTAATGGAAAAGTAATAGCATCCTTAGAAACTAATACCTAATTCTCTTTATACACAATTGTCATTAAAATAGAAAATTCAATTTTTATAGTGAACTGGTTGACCAACAACTCAACCATCTTTGCAGTAGATTAAGCTTTCAAAAATGGAAATACTAGTGCTACATGACTTACCAAATATTCTTCAGTGCCATAGAGAGAAACAAATTGCTCATCATCCTCTAATTCTCTAGCTGCACCAAAATCTGTGAGTTTGTATACAGACTGTCCATCTTCCCCTATGACACGCATGATATTTCCTGGTTTGATATCACGGTGTACTATGCCATTTTCTCGGAGGTGATTCATTCCACCCACTTCAATAAAAAACATTAAACAAAGGAAATCATAATGTTGGTAGGTATCTACATGTACATGTATGTTGCAATTTAGTTGACAAAATGTATTCATGTTCAATCAAACTTTTCTCTATAAATTGGTTCAGTAATTTTACTTAAAATAACAAATGGTCTTTTTATACACACATATATACACATGTATAATATCTTACTTCAATTATAAGAGTTTTAGAATAAGTATCAATATGGAGGGAGGGACTGGGGATGTGGCTGAAGTGCTAAGGCTCTTGTCTAACAAGCTCATGGTCCTGAGTTCAATCCCCAGTGCTGCTAGATGAAAAAAGGAGTACTGGCTCATTTTGTGAAACAAAGGCAATTTGCACAGAGTGACTTTTTTTTTGCTGGTAGTGGGGCCTGAACTCTGGGCCTGGGCGCTGTCCCTCAGCTCTTCAGCTCAAGGCTAGCGCCTACCACTTCAGCCACAGCGCCACTTCCAGCTTTTTCTACTTATGTGGTTCTGAGGAATTGAACCTAAGGCCTCATGAATGCAAGGCAAACGCTCTACCATTGAGCCACCTTCCCAGCCCCAACAGAGTGACTTTCTTGACTAGTTGATGTCAGATTTAGCAACTTAAACAGCTTAATTTCTTTTTTTTTCTGTGTGAAGATCTTTAATATCAAATCAAATTTTTATAATATTTTACATACCATTTGTTAGTTTACATTTTTAAATTATTATAAAGGTGATGTACAGAGGGGTTACAGTTGGCCTAATATTAAAAAAAATCAATTTGGTCTAAGGAGTCCAATGTCTCCCCTTTTTTTCAGTTTGAACTCAGAGCCTTGAACTTGCTAGGCAAAAAAAACCCCACCACAACAAAACAACTACAAGGCTTTCCCTATATACTTACTTCAATAGCTGTAATTCTGTTTAAGCAGGCTGCATTGTTTCTCTCTCTTATTTTATGTCAGCTGTGGGGTTTGAAATTTGGGCCTGGGCTCTTCAGCTCAAGGCAAGCACTCTACCACTTGAGTCACACCACCACTTCTGGTTTTCTGGGTGGTTTACAGTAGATAAGAGTCTCACACAGTTTCTTGCCCAGGCTGGCTTTGAACCATGATCCTCAGATCTCAGCCTCCTGAGCTAGGATTACAGGCATGAGCCACTCTGACACTGGCTCTCTCTTATTTTAATCACACCTAAACTGTCTTCATTATGCTTTGATATCAAGTTGAAACTCTATACCTTTTTTTTTTTTTCATTTTGCTGGTTCTGGGGCTTAAACTCAGCTTGAGCTCTTTCACTGAGCATCTCTGTGCTCAAAGCTAGCTATCTACCACTTGAGCCACAGTGCCACTTCAGCTTTTTTCTGAATAGTTTATTGGAGATAAGTGTCTGATGGATTTTCCTGCACAGGCTAGCTTTGAACTGTGATCCTCAGATCTTGGCCTCTAAGGTAGCTATGATTATAGGTGAGTGCCCCTGGCGCTCAACCATTCTTCTTTTTTTGTCTGGGGAGGAGAGGCGTAGTACTAAGGTTTACAGGGGATCTTGTGCTGAGTCACATCTCTAGTCCCTTTTTGCACTAGTTATTTTTGAGATACGGTCTTCAAATATTTTATTACCTGGACTGGAATCACAATCTCCCAATCTTAGCCTCCCTCACAGCTAGAATGACAGACTTTTGCCATCATGCCCAGCTATTTGTTGAGAAGGCAGTCTCATTAATTTTTCTGCCTGGGCTAGCCTCAAACCATAATCTTCCCAATTTCAGCCTCCTAAGAGGCTAAAATCACAAGAGTGAGTCACATTTTTTTTTAAAGTACATAATTAGTAATTTTAGGCTAAAATCACAGGAGTGAGTCACATTTTTTTTTTTTTTTGGGTCCGGTTGTGGGGCCTGAACTCTGGGCCTGGGCGCTGTCCCTCAGCTCTTCAGCTCAAAGCTAGCGCTCTACCACTTGAGCCACAACGCCATTTCCCGCTTTTTTCATTTTGCTTATGTGGTGCTGAGGAATCGAACCCAGGGCCTCAGGCATGCAAGGCAAGCACTCTACCACTGAGCCATCTTCCCAGCCCCATGAGTCACATTTTTTAAAAGTATATAATCAGTAATTTTTAGTATAGACAGAGCATTAGAACTATTACCAGTAATTTTATACTTTTAGCATGCCCCAAATAAAAGCCTCATTTCTATTGTTCTCAAAGCTGCCCTATTCCATTAACAGCCACTATCCAACTCTATCCACCTCTAACTACTAAACTATTATTATTCTTCCTTTCTTCTTTCTTCTCTCTCTCCCCCTTTCTTTCCCTCTCCCCCTTTCTCTCTCTATCTCTTTTTCTCTCTCTTTTTGGTCAGTCGTGGGGCTTGAATTCAGAGCCTGGATGCTGTCCCTGAGCTTTTTCGCTCAAGGCAAGCACTCTACCACTTTAAGCCATAGCTACACTTTGGTTTTTGGTGGTTAACTGGAGATAAGTCCCACAGACTTTCCTGCCCCAGCTGGCTTTAAACTATGATCCTCAGATATCAGCCTTCTGAGTAGCTAGAATTAACAGGCATGAGCCACCAACACCTGGCTTCATTATTCTGCTTTCTTATCTCTATGGATTTGTTTATTTTGAACATACCACATAAATTATATAATATTGTACCTAGTAAAATATTTTGAAAAGTGAATACACATTTTTACCACATATCACTACTTAATTTTTATGCACGAATATATCAAATGAAAGACATTTGGGGTTGTTTCCAGTTTTGTCTGTGTGCATGTGCTCATCCTGGAGCTCATCCTGGGTGCTGTCCCTGAGCTCGTTTACTCAAAGCTACCTCTCTACAACTTGAGCAACTCAGCTTTCAGCTTTTTGGTAGTTAATTGTAGATAAATTCATAGACTTTCCTGCTTAGGCTCGCTTCTAACGATTTGCAATCCTCTGATCTCAGCTCCTAAGTAGTTAGGATTACAGGTAGGAGCCATCATGCCCGGCTAGTTCCTAATTTTTGACTATTATGAATATGCTGCTATGAACATATCCACATTTATCTTTACATGGGAACTGCTGGATCATAAGTTAATTTCATATGTAACCTTTTGAGGTGTTTCACTACTATTTTCTCAGGAGGTTGTAAATTTTACAATCCTACCAGCAATGTATGATAGTTTCAATTTTTCCAAATCCTTCCCCACTTTTAAACTGGGGTTGGCTTTTCATTGTTAGGATTTTCTGAATAAAAAAAATTTCCTTATATGTGACTTGCAAACATAGATTGTCATTCTATGAGTTGACTTTTCATTTGTCCCTCACAGTACAAAAGTTTTAATGTTGATGCAGTCTGATTATCTAACTTTCTTTATCATATCATGCTTTTGGTATTATAGGTAAGGAAGATTTTTTGTTTTTTATTTTGAACATAAGAAATTTATTTTGTATTCTATCATTAAATCAGATATATATATATATATATATGTATTCATACAGATAAAAAAAAACATACCCACATCTCGTAAAACAATTAAAAATTCTGATTCTGGTAGTCCATAGGCATTCGATGGCTCTTCTAAAACAGTGTATAAACTTCCACATGGACAAAATTCCATAACAAGTACTTTATGTCTTGTTGTTGTCTGAAAAGAGAAATCACTGTTTGGAAATCAATATTAAAAAAAATTGGATTATATGGTAGCACTTAATCTCATTTTATATATACATAGGATTTACTACCATGACGAAGGTAATTGGAATTGCTTTGTTAACATATCCGTTAACTGTATATATCTGAAATCCTTCAAGGAATGGAATCCTATTCTTAAACATAAATGGGTGGCAGAATGTCTGAGTGGTCCCTCTTACAGTAAAGTTCCTGTTTGTTTAATCTCCACCTGAGTTGATTTGCATTAGTTTGTTTTTAGTGTTCCATTGATTATACGATGCATCAGTGTAACAAACACCATCAAATTATATAATATACAGTGATTATACTATGACAATTTTAGAAATTAGAAATTTTTGTTCTTTTTTTTTTTGTTGTTGTTGGTACTGGGGCTTGATCTCAGGACCTTATGTTTGTTTAGCTTGTCTGCTCATGGTTGGCACCGTACCATGTCAGTCACTCTTCTAGCCTAACATTTTTTGTCGGTTAATTAGAGATGGAGTCTTTGTAGACTTTTCTCTCCTAGCTGACTTTGAACCAGGATCCTTCTAATCTCCTCTTGAGCCAGGGGCACTTGACTTGAAATTCTGAATGAGTCATAAAATCTCATATTCACCTTTAACTTTTTGTTGCTGTTGGTTGTGGTGTACTGTCTGAGCTTTTTGTTCAAGACTAGCTCTCTAGTTTTTTGAGCCACAGCACCACTTCTAGTTTTCTGGTGGTTAATTGGAAATGGAAGTCTCACAGACTTTCCTGCCAGGTTGGCTTCGAATTGTGATCCTCAGACCTCAGCCTCCTGAGTAGCTGGGATTACAGGTATGAGCGATCAGCATCTGGCTCATCTTTGTTGTTATCCTTTCTTCCTTTTCTAATTTTTCTCTATACATCCCCCAAATAATTTTGTTCTGAACAACTCTACTATTCAGTAATAGTTGAAAAAAGATAAACAACTGTTAGAGAAAAACTTGCTGCTTTCAAGTGAAGAAATAGTGTTGACTGTTGAAAATTTAGAAAATATACATAATTCTATTACTTAGGGATAATAAGATTAACATTTTAGTATATTTTCTTTTGGGCTTTCTCTTATAGATCAAATTATTGAGACAGAATGGTATATCACGACATATTTAGTCCTGATTTTTTAAGTAGTTCTCTACATAGGTATGTTTATTGTTAAATATCTCTCACATACTGCTTAATTATGTGTAGCAAAGAAATAACTTGCTTTTGCCACCCCCTTGGGGACTTTAGCCAATGGATAATGGAACAATATAATGTATGATGGGGACTTTAGAACACATTGAATTAGTTCTGATCTCCGGAGGAAATGGAGGAAGGAACTAGAAATTAAAGATCAGCCATGTAGACAACAATTGCACAAAGCATAGCAAAGTCTTGGGCAGTCCTTCTAGGTTGATAATATTCGATGTATTGTCCCTCTATAATTATAGGAGGGTAATGTGTTCATATTTGGAACCCTCTCATAGTCTACCCTGCAGTTGTTCTAATTTGCATCTTTTGCTATAATAAAACTAGTTGGTAAAGCACCTAACACTGTAGTACTGGGCACAAAACCTCTAAGAATAGTACTCTGTTGAGTTCTGTAAATCAGATTACATTCTAATAATCTGACAAATCTGAGTGTTTTTGGAATCTGGGAGATCTGTGGACAGCTGGCCTACAGTGAGAACAGCCGTAGGGACTCCTGAACTTGAGGCTGATATCTGAAGTGAGGATACTTTTATCAAGATTATCCTCGGCAGTTTGTCAAACTCCCTTGCAGTGTGGTGTCAGAAATCTTGGGCTGGATTTGGAGTGTGCTGAAGATGTACGGCACTTGCCTAGCAAACAAAAGGCCAGTGTTCAGTACTGGGTGCTGGGGAGGGAGAATCTCAGGCAGACTTGGAAGTCTAGAAGATAATATGCCCTTAAACTTGTGTTCACTAACTCTGGGTATGTAGTGTCTAATTTTCTTGACATTTTAACAAGTCTTTATTGTAAACAGCATACCAAGTATAAACAGCATAAGAAATAATAAAAGATGAAATCACTAAAATAATGAATACAAAATACCAAACTGATTGTCCAAAAGAACAAATTTTAGTGATTATTTACATCTAAAAGAATTAGATTTCTGGGGCTGGGAAGGTGGCTCAGTGGTAGAGCGCTTGCCTTGCATGCATGAGGCCCTGGGTTCGATTCCTCAGCACCACATAAGCAAAAAGAAAAAA